ATATATTTTCCTTACAACAAATTTCATTTTTTCTTTAAATCAAAACATGAAAATAAGTGCCGATCTGGTTTTCCAGTCAGAATATTACCCTTTCTCCCATCTGGATTTGTTAGGACCAGAGTTTTCAATTAGTTCTAATTGGCCTACATTCCTTGATTCAAATCATATTCTAATGTTACCATCTTTACCAACTTACCATCATTCATCGTCTAAATCTCGCCACTTGATTGTTTTCTAATAACGTCAAAGAGAAAGAGTCAGCAATGAAGCAATGTCAGCAATTTTCGTGGTGAACATCTGGTTCGAATTTCAAACAGAATTGATATTTTTAAGTCGACCAATAAATCTTCTTGATTTGGCTGCGCTGGAACCGAGATAATTTTCATACTCTAAAAGTTGAGATCAAGTTCATTTTAACTTCGGAATTGTAAGTCTAGCAAAGACTAATAAGCGTTATAGCAAGGTGAATATGGTTTGGTTCATAGTATAAACATAGTATTTCGTTTGTTACCGTCTATAAATTGACTTACTATTATGAGCCAAGCTTACTTACTTACTTAGTTACTTAGTTGGCCCGTCCTCACGTGTCGTGCGGGCCGCAGCACAGCTTCCATCCGTTCCTATCCCTCGCAAGCGTCAACCACGATTTTCGTATCGGTCGTTGATGGCGAAGATCACGAGATCTAGGTGTAAAATTCGCTTCCAGCTGGTTTTTCAGCTGGTCCATCCTTTCCACGAACACATCTGCCCACCTGGTGGGGGGTCTTCCTCGAGGGCGTTTTACATCGCGAGGGATCCATTCCAGCGTTCTTAACGTCCATCTCGTCTGTTCTTCTTGCAATGTGACCGGCCCATCGGTACTTTACCTTCGAAACATACTCGACTGGGTCTCGTAGACGGGACATACTTCTTAAATCAGAACTGCGAAGTCCGGCAAGATGTTGCGTACGTCGGTTAAACTTCAGAAGACTCCGCTCCATCGCTCTGTGGGTGGTACGAAGAGCTTTCGACGTGGCAGCAGTGTCAGCCCACGTCTCGGCTGCGTAGCAGAGCGCTGGGAGAACGGTTGAATCGAACAGATGAGCTCGGAGCGCAGGGTCCGTTAGTTAGTCGGTGGCTTCTTTCAAAGGCCCGTAAGCGGCTCAAGCTGCTCTTCGCCTTCTGTTAAGTTCTTCTTTCAAGTCGTTCTGCATGTTCATTGAACGTCCTAGATACACGTAAGAAGAGGTCTCCGTGATTGGGGAATCTTCCAGCTTCAATTCCGTATCCTCAATTAGGCCGTTCTTCATGAACTGGGTCTTCTTCCGATTGATTCGCAGTCCAATCGTCTTCCCTACTTCGTTCAATTCCTTTAACATCGTCTCGGCTTCATTGATACTGCTCGAGAAGAGAACGATGTCGTCCGCGAAACGAAGATTCGAGAGGAATCTCCCATCAACTCGTATACCTCTCTCATTCCAGTCCAGTGATTTCATCACCCACTGCAAGGCCGCCGTGAACAGCTTAGGCGATATGGTATCGCCTTGTCGGACTCCCTTCCCTATTGGTACGGTCAGGGGGCGATGGAACAGCTGTAGCGTTGTAGTGCAGTCCTTGTAGCAGTTGGCTAATGTCCTCACATATGACGGATGCACTCCTTGATCGACTAGCGCTGACAGGATAGCGTTGAACTCGACGCTGTCAAATGCCTTCTCGTAGTCGACGAAGGTTAGGACGAGAGGTAATCGGTACTCCCGGCAAACTCCTATGACCCTCGAAACCGTCTGGATGTGATCCATGCAACTGAATCCCTTGCGAAATCCAGCTTGTTCTGGAGGTTGGGCTTCATCCAGTGTCCTTGAGATGCGAGTGAGAATGATCTTGGTGAAAAGCTTATACAGCACGCTCAACAGGCATATCGGACGATAGTTTCGAAGATCTTCCCGTTCGCCCTTCTTGAAGAGAAGAACGGTTCTTGACGTTCTCCACTGGTCGGGAATCCTTTCCTTCTGGAGATAAGATGTTAGGTGCGCCGCCAGAATCTCGTGTAGACAGTGTCCTCCAGCTCTCAGCAGGTCCACGGAAAGATGGTCTGGTCCTGGAGCTGTGGACGTCTTCATGGTCTGGATCGCGACGCGTACTTCAGCAGGAAGAATTCGTGGTGGTGTGTCTCCAGTGGGAACAGCGGGGTCTGGCACGGGTGTTGATGAGCGGAAGAGTTTGGTGTAGAAACTCTTCGCGATCGATTCCATTTCTCGGCGGGAAGTTGCTGGTACCCCATTTTCGTTTAATAACGCTCCCAGTGGTATGTGGTAGTCGCAAAGGTCCCTTCGGCATTTCTTCAGACTTCGTCTTTGTTCAGCGGCTTCCAAAATCCTCCTTTGCCTGTACTTTCGTAGATCCTCCTGCAATGCCGTTCTGCAGCTGGTATTTGCCACCAACCGCTCGAGGTGAGATGCATTCGGATCCAGCCTCAAGGATCTTCTTCTATCGAGCAATTCCTTGGTGGTGCTTGAGATGCGATCCAAGTTCCTTGCACGAGTTGTTGAGGCGCAATACCCACAGGCTTCCAATCCTTTGAGAAGCAGCTCGTAGTCCTTTGTTGGGTCTTCCTCGATGGGCCACTCACAACATGATAAGAGCTCCTCTAACCTTTGACCGTCGTAAACGACTTCCTTCCTTCGTGGACTGCGATGGCAAATCTTCCTTTCCAGCTTTTGACTGAATCGTACCTTCGCTCGTAGGAGGCGGTGATCAGAACCACTGCAGAAAGATGGCACTACCGATACGTCAAGTAGGCACCATCTTCGGTTGGTGAGTATGTGGTCAATCTCCGCATGTGTCGTTCCATTGGGTGACTCCCATGTCCATCGTCGTTGTTCTTTCTTTATGAAAAGTGAGTTTCCATGAAACAGGCGTGCGGCGGATAGGATCCCAATAAGACGGTTGCCGTTATCATTCCGGAGCCCAAATCCAAATTTCCCGATCCTATACTCCTCTTCTAGTTTCATCCCGATTTTCGCGTTAAAGTCACCCACAACAAACTTGTAAAAGGACTTCTCGTTGCGGACGACCTCCTCCACATGCTCGTAAAAAGCATCCAATTCCGAATCATCAGCTGCTGATGTTGGAGAATAGCAGTTGATGATGCTGATGGTCTTCTGGTGTGGAGGGTGTAGACGAAGGATGGCCAGTCGGGGAGACAGGATCTCATGCGAATCGACGAGATGGACGATCGTTGGGTGGACGACAAAGCCGACGCCTCCCACGTTCCGCGACGGAACTTTCTCACCACGAATGACGAGGGTCCCATCGCTCAACTGTCGCACGTCTTGCTTCCTGCACTTCGTTTCCTGCAGGGCGATGACGTGGTACTTGATGTGCCCTGCGGCGTGGAGAAGAGCGTGAAGGTCGGCGTCTGTGGAGACTGTTCTGGCGTTGTAAGTGCAGAGCATGAAGCAGTCTCCATGGCGGGTCGTCGCAGGTGTGCCGTTTTTGTCCAATCCAAATGGCGCCCTGAGCAACCTGCCACCAGCCTTGTTTCCTTCCGGCGCCTTAGTCGAAGTCTGATGACAGGGCTTTATTCCTTTACTTGCTGCTCGAGTTTTAAATTTTTCCCCGGCACTGAGTCGGCTTACCAGGCCTTTAGGCCTACCATATTCAGGCGATCGCTGACCATCACTATGTGGAGTGGGGGACCCGCCTAACGACCTATTAGTCAGACGGCGGAAGCTGACCCGGTTCGCTCTTTGCTGGGCGTCCGGGAGCCAGAGGTTAAACTCTGGCTGCAGGTAGCTGACACCCAGGGCCACCCCCACGCCACTTTGAGGCGGCGAATCATCGTGGCCAAGCTTAAAAATGAATTATTTGCATCGAAAACGATTGCAAATGAAGATTGCGTTCTCTACATTTTCAAACGAGAGAAATCTCAATGGTACTGCAATTGTGTTCATCGGAACTGCGCCAGACTCGATCAAAACATGCAGCGGAGTTATCGCCTCGAAGAGATCTCGATAATCTGAGTATCCTGAGTTGGAGAAGGCTCAAGAAGTCAGTGCACCAAATTAATGTGAAAACAGTTTCTGATCATGATTATAAAATTCTGGGTGTAGTAAGCGATTTCTAACTCTTGCCGGTGTGCATCTCAACTCAGGAAGGAAGCTTCTCTTACAATTTACAAAATTCTCAGACTGATACGCACTATTGCTGAAATAATGAGCTCTAATCACTTTCTATGACTGATAGCAGGAACGTTTCTTAAATAGTAATTCGTCACCAGCGAAGCATATTGGTGTATTCGAGTCCTTTTCAAAGGTTGTATGATACTGTTTTTGAGAAAAAGATGCCAACAAATTTGAAACGATGTTACTCAAAGGTGACTTGCTCTAGGGGTCATTTTCTGTTTAAAATGACCTTTGTTCCTTTTCTTTAAACTCTGCTCTGGGAACTATCATCTCGAAATTTCAAAAAAAAAATGAAGGGAGACGGCGGGAAGCCTTTGAAAATAATTCTTTACAAATCTTTTCTAGAAAATTTTGATTACCTTATGTATTTTCGAGTAAAAACAAGTCATGTATCCACTTCATGACTTAAGTGCATGTCTCAAAAATTTATTCTCAAGACTATGTATTTACTGTATGACTGTACTAGTAGAAGTTCTTGGGTTTAGGCGGAAATCCAATATGTGGAGGGATGGAATTTCTTTGTAAAGATATTTTCTACCGTCCGAAGTTTCCCAATGTAAGCAGCATGCTGAATGCTCATTATTGTTAACTCAAGTATGAAAACGTTCATTGCGTATTTTCAAACCGCTGAGTTCAACCACTGAATATTTTTTTATTATCGCAGCAATCAACGACACCACCACGTTTCCGTGTAACAATCCTCTTTATCATATGATCAACAGAAGTTTCTACCATATTTATGTTGAAAAACCGTTTTCCATCATTTCGGCACAGGACATGATCATAAGGAAACCATATGTACCAGTTTAAATCTAGCGAGCCAGGAATGAAAAACCGCTATGCAGATGGAATTCTGCTGCTATTTGCGTCGTGTTTTCTACCACTCGAATTTGCTAAAGCGCAGGGATCTTCAGAACCCAGCTGTGCTTTTCTGTAATATGTTTTAGATGAAATGAGGTACTGCAGCGTTCAGAAGCACTTACCTCGTGCATTGGTTGTGTTCTTCAGCTTTTGCTTTCAAATTTCGTGAAAACTGCAGTAACGATAACGGTCTTATCTTCCGTTTATCTCCGTAAGACGTTCTGGCTAGCGAGCTGAAAGGATTGCATTCAAACAGTTATTTTCTGCTTGTTTATACAGAAGAATGTCGAACAGGGCTCGGCACAGCTGGCACCGGGTCAAGCTGGATATCGTTTTTAGGGCGGAAAGCAAAGAAATATCGTTTTCCTGGGTCCCGGGCGGAGAAGAGCCGCAAGAATGCCACCGGCATGCTGTCCATCAAATAAACAAGGCGTTGTTTTCAGCCAAACGCAATAGTATGGCATCAAATTTAGTGTGTGCATGCGCGATGGGGAACCCGAACTATGGCCCAAAAATTTATGAAAACTTATGTGAATGAAAACTGTGCTGAACTTTTTTATGAATCAGGTGGCACCATGCCAGTTGGGTGCCAGATGAGCTGGCACCCACATTTTGCTCACATAAGTTTTCATATTTTTTTACATAAAATGTTTCTACAGTGTAAAAGTCTACATTTAGAAAAAAACCATTTCATAGTGTTTTCTCTTCAGCGTTTATAGCCATCTGAAATTTACTCGGACCGTTCCACGGTTGAAAAATCGGCTTTTTTGCTTTTCAAGGTGTGATTCAACTACTTAAGCTCAGAAAGCTGTGAAAAGTTGTTATATGAAATCAGCATGCATGAAAACCCTACTATATACTTGTACTTAATATAAAAATGATGACGAGTTCAAAACAGGTCAACGGGAACTTCGTGTGAAATTTTCAGGATCAAGCAGGACTTCGTTTTGAAATTTTCCTGGTGCCAGCTCGTGCCGAGCCCTTGATATCGAAGATATGTCAAGATCTATAGCAAAGGCCTTCGTTAAACCAACTGCTTGGGTGAAGGATTCTTCTTCCTTATTTCTTATTTGAGTTTCAGTCAGGAATAAGGTGTTGTTCTACGTGTAGCAACATGATGGCACGATAAATCAAAAAATGCTTGCCGTGATGTGTAATTTGATAATTACACGCAAAACTAACAAGTCCAAAAAACTCTGCGGGTTTTAAGCTTTTTAGAGGCTTGAAATGGAATAACGGTAAATTGACAGATACAATACCACTCTCAAATGCGCAAAATTTTTGTGAATGTTGTCATTCCAGGAGTTCCACGATTTCCAGGAATTCCGCGGAATCCACGCGAATCATGCAAACTACGCGTGCCGTAACTTCTTTCGGAATGGACATATTCCTCAAGCAGTTGGACTACCAACGTCATTCTTTGCCGCCGGAGTACTAAGTTCAGTTGGCATACCGCGAAACTATTGGATTGTCCAAAACTTCTTGCGCCGCACTCTAGAAAAAACACAACTTCTTTGTATCTTGATGGATTTCTTTGAAAGTAATTCTATATGAAAGCACGACCAAGCTCTTTATAGCAGTAAGCTTCCGGCGAGATATTAGGTTCCGAAAGTGATGGCGCTTATTTAAATGAACGCCAGATTTCGTGGAACAGAAGCTTCTAGGTCTTGGTAGCATTAGATGCAGCATATCACACGACTTTTAACTATCATGAAATCGTCGCACTACAGTTAATAAGCTCTCGGAAATCTGTAAGATGGTCAAGTTTCACAATTTTTCTAGGTTTCCATATCACCCTCAAGTCCAAGTAACGATCTGATGGAGCAAACCTTAAATGATACAGTACATCTTTTTTCCCTTTTCTAGTTCGCCATAAATTTCAGAAGATTTTTTGACTAGCGCTATCGGATTTTGCAGGCTTGAGTCAGCCATATTACATTAAACACCAGTAATTCAACTTCCAAGATGGTACTATAATTTAACACCAGTTTTACAAAGCAAATGGGAGTTTATGGATCGACATATCAAATTTCGAGTTTTTCGGGTGTAGCCTAGGGCGCGTTCAAAAGTACGAGTTATTATTTTCGCATTATTTTCGGAACGTCTAATAGTATAGGAAAATTCGAATGATAGAAGCAATTGAACTAGATTACTCGAGATTGGCATTTTTCAAGTAGGGTCACAAAAACTTCGTCAGGTAATTTTCCAGAAAATTTTACACAATACTGTGGCACTTTTGCTATGAATCTGCATCAGATAGTTCGAGAATTAGAAGCAAAGGAAGAGAGTTACTTCAGTTTTGCAGTTGAGCATGCTCAAAAAAAAAAGCTTCAAACGTCACAGCAGAGACTGAAATTGTCATAAACAGGGTCAAGCGCAGGGTCAAGCAAGGGGTGTGGCACACGATCGCTGGTTACGACCCCCCCCCTGATTGCTGTCTTAATAAGACCCCCCCCCTGAACTATACACTTAAGATAGCATTACTTGCAGGCCCTGTCAAACATAATGGGCAACATATCCATAATTAGCGTGTCAAATAACCCCTAGTAGACAAAGTATGAGCGAATTCTCAAAATTCAAGATATTAGGCTACATAAGTGAAACAGTCAAATTCCAACATGGTTAACTTTGTTTTAAAGGTGAATTAGCTATCCGTTTTTGCCCTCAAAACAAAGCACTATTCCTTCTTAGTCCATCTCAGAAATCTCGCTCCAAAAGACCTCCAAACTGTGGAAATAGAAGCCAACCAAAATCTCATTTTTCCCATTTTTCGCTTTTCATGGCTGTGATTTCACCAATTGTTACTCGGAGCAAAGAAAACGAATCAGGCTCAAATCACTCTTGTGAAGATTAGGAGATCTAGACTATCGATTCATATAAATGCTGTTCGCTAAAAATGTTCTTTGATATAGTTAATGGGGTGTGCCACACCCCATTAACTATATCAAAACTATATCTGAAGGTACCAGAATTGGCAGACAAAGAGTCATTCGTCGTAAAATCATCGAATATGTAGACAATTTACTTTAAAATTCAGGCTTTGGGATACACAACTCAAGTCGCCAAACGACGAACGCATTTGCGCAAAGTCTTGCTCCTCGACTTTTGCAAAAACGGCCTTAAACGGTCGGGGAAAGGAAGTAAGCAAGCATGAACAGTCACCAAGTACTTAAGTGATTCGTCGAAATGGAATTTCCGCCTTCTCGGATTCTTCGGTTTGCAGTCAAATTTTTTTTACTAAATTTCTCAAAAATTGAAAAGAGAATGAAAATATTCTTGTAGAGCAAACTTACAAGGAATGCATGTTTAGTCAAAGTGGCCAAATTTTAGATGATGTACACCACGTTCAAAGGCATAAAATGCTGGTTTTAAATCTGCCTTCTTTATCTGCAAAACGCTCATGAACGAGGAGTTATGAGCGCTTATTGGAGCAAAAATTGAATGTGCAAGTAGGATAGAAATAGCCGTAATACTTTTCTACTCTTCGGTGGAACAGTAATAATTATCAAAACACTTTATTCAAAAATACTCTCTAAAATGAAAAAGTATATCACATTTGGTTGCATTATTTGGGGGTTGTCAAGATTTTAGCAACTCATTCCATCCAAAATGCATATTCAATTTTTGGCTCCAATGAACGCTTACAACTCCTTGTCCATGAACGTAGAGCTTCACGCATACAAACATCTCTTCGAATGCCTCACAAATTATTGATAGCTTATTACACAACCTAGTAAGAGAATTTCATAAGATCCATTTTTATAACAGGTTCGGTCTCTGCTGTGACGTTTCAGGTTTTTTGAGCCTGTACAAAAATTGCAGAACTTTCTCTTCATTTGCTCAATTCTCAAACTATTTCATACTGATTCATGCAAAGGTCCCACTTATATGCAAAGTTTTTTCTTTTAAACAAAATTACTTGCAAAAATTTTCGAAAACCTGCTTCAAAATGCCAATCTTGGGCAATCTCTTTTATTGCTTCTATCTCTCTCGAATTTTTCCATACTATTTCGCCGGAAGCGTTCTGCTGTACACAGACAATTATCGTGAGCACCCGCCGGCCACCCACGGGAGACGCCACGCCTATCCCGAGGGCGCGCCGATAAGTGCCTGGAAAGCGCCCGACAATGCCCGCGGGTGGCCCGATAAGTGCACAATATGCATCTGGGGAGGGGGGAGGGAAGTGGCAATACATCTCGGTAGGACTAATAAGAGTTCATACCTTTCATTCCCAAAGTTTCGCAACACCTACACCACCATAACAAAGTTTCCGACAGTTTATCTGATCTCAGGAGTAAATAGTCTAATGGGGCTCATCTGAGACACTATTGATGAACAAGAACTTGATGCTACTTGACTTTTGACTAACTAACGACACAAACGTTGTGGGTAGCCCTATTACAACGGCGTATCTCACGCGAGTAGCGTTCTCTCCTACAGCGTGTATTAATTGTGCGGTCATGCAAGACCCGGGGCTCGTTGGAGTGACTCTGTCGGGCCGTGGCCTAAAGGCCCGGGAATCGCCCGGGAACTAAATATGCAGTGCGTCCATTAAGGCCCGGGGCTTGCCCCAGGGCTTTTGCTTGGGCCGCGAGTGTTCCGATAAAACTTTTAAGGCCCGCGGCCTTTCCTTAGCGATAACACTGAGCCGCGAGTCGCCAAGCAAATAATTCTAGGGCCGCGGATGTCATTCCAAGAATTCAACGCCCGCCCACCGCCGAAAGGCACCGTTAGGGGCCGGGAAGTTGATAACAGAGTAATTTGGGGGGGGGGGGGGGGATAAAAAGGCTTACTTGGTAATCGGCTGGCCCCGCAGGTCACTGCAATAGGCTTGCACGCATTCATAGCCCATCTATGCTGTAGTGCGTTCGGTGCAGGCCCGCAGAGGGTATTGAAGACAAATCCTTCAATCCTTCATCCTTTTTTTGATGCTCGATGAATTTGGATATTCAAACGCTCGCAACTTTTTTTGGGGAGTTGTTCTGTGCAAAGGAGGAAGATTTGGAGACAACGTTTAGAGACGCGTTTAGTGATCTACATATCTCCTTCAATCGCCAACTTCTGGTATTTTTCATTTTGTAAGATGAGCGTAGTTGCTTAGAGAGACGAGTATCAGGATTTCCAGCATTTGGTTGATCAAGAGCGGGATACTTTTCGCCATCACTTCGGCTCTCTCCTGGATGAATTCGTACGAGAGCAGTTTGAGGAGCAATTTTTAAATCATTGTTGAGGGCATTTGCGATGCTCTAAAGAATGTTATAGGCTGCCTTGCTTCTATAAAATGCTGATACGTAGCATCTAGAAAGTTTCGGGGAACTCAAGAGTTTTTCTTGATTTCCGTGGAGACTTTTCGAATCGATGGTTCGGACAAAAGCGTACACATCCTTTTTTGCTTAGACTTCACTACAGTGTAAACAAATATGTACAAATTGTTTGATAACGACATAAAAGGGATGTATTTCCTCAAACTGGTAAGAGCGAGATTTTACGGTTTTGAAAGAAAGACGAAGCCGCACAACTCAAATCATATGGAGTGGAAATTGCCGATAAAATGCTGGCAGATGCTGAATTCCAAGCTCGAGGGAAAAAAATTGCTGAGTAAAAAGAAATCGAAAGCTGGCGCCTTCGAAAATCACAGAATGCGCTGATAATCCTCAAAATTCGTCAATGACAAAAAGCCTCATCAGACTTTGATTTTCAGATTTTGAGGTCAAACCGTTATAAGTAAATGTATAGATAACTTTGAAACTTTTATTTTATATCGGAATCAAGATTTGGACAGCTCTGTAAAAAATGCCTCTTTCTGCTTTGCAACCGCTACATTCTCTCATAATTCTTTTCTGATTCTGCCATATTGCCTTCTTAACTCTGTCCTTTATTTAGTGCGACTTGGAGCATTATCATTATCATCATTTCATAATTATTCTGCAGAGCGGCAAGTTTTATAAATAGCTACCAAACGTCTCCGCACAAACCATATTCCATCTCATGTGTGAAGCCCAAATTTACACCGTAATAACCTGGTTGAAACTCCCATAAATGCTGCGCCTTAACTCTAGTTTCGTTTCGAAAGTCAGAGTCAAAGCAAGTTAACTAACAAGGAAACGGTGTCGAGTCGAAGTGGCCTTTTCAGATGAGACCTATAGTGCTTTGAAGAGCATTAATCGATGATTCCAAATCTGCTTTCGAAGTCTGCCAAGCGCCTCTGGACGCCAAGTTATGCTCGTTGTTTAGGTCAAAAAATTGAACGCAAAACTGAAGCAAAAATCGCCCAAATTTGCTCAGATGGCCTAGTGTCAAGTATCAGAGCTGTTTATGCAATGAATACATTTTATATAATATGCTAATACTTAACATTGCTTTATCTGAGCGCTGGAAAGATTGTAACAATCAATTTTACCTTTACCTAATGCATTC